TCATTGTGAGATACCCAGTTAAAATATCCTGTTGTTCATAATTAGGTTTCAGTCATACAATGTTCCAACACCCAGTGTACATTTCCCACCACCAATGTATAAATTTCAACCTCAAAATTAAACCCAAGTGAAGTCCAGATGGAGAAATGTTTAAATGTAAAAAACAACAAAAGTACTAGGAAAGATATAGAACAGAATCTTAATAATATAGAAGAGGAGAAAATCTTTCTAAATATGTCACAAAGTTATAATCCATAAAGGATTTGATAGGGAAAATCAATTAAGAAATCAAAAGACATGAAAAAATGGAAAGATTTCAGCTTTATGTCATAAAAGGCTGGTTAATGCACTTTTCATAGCTCCATATGATAGACGACCATAGATCGAACATAAAAGACATTTTCCCTGGAGCATCTGAATCATTAAAAAGATTCTGTGCCTACAGGATAGGAAAATGGGCAAAAGAATGAATCACAGTTTATAGACTACAGGTCTGGGAGCTAGGGCAGCAGATAAGAGCTTGCCTTGCATGCAGCTGACTTGAATTTGTCTCTGGTACCCCATAAGGTCCCCAGAGACCATGACTTCTGAGCCTCACTAAGAGGGAACATAGAGCCAGGAGTAAGTCCTGAGTGCCACCAGGTAAAAATCAAAGAAAAAAAAAGTCCCTCCCAAAACAAGTTTATAGACTAAGAAAAAAAATTGGGGGCAGGGAAGTGGGGTAGGAGTTTGGGGATTGGGCGTGGTATCCACAGTTCTCAGCCAACTGGGTCTGCAGTTCAGTATGAGGGCCAGAGAATGTGATGCTGTTCATGTGCTAAATCAGGCTACCTGGGAGGTGCAGAGGATCTCTAGGGCCGTACCTGGTAGTATTCTGGAGACCATGACTCCTGGAATGGCACCTAGGTTGGACATGCCCTAATCATTGTACTATCTCCCAGTTCCTAGATATCGTTCGTTTCTGTTTTGAGGCCACACCCAGCAGTGCTTGTTTCTGGCTCTATGCTCAGGGATCACTCTTGGAGGGACTCGGGGGGCCATATGGGGTACCAGGGATTGAACCTGGGTCAACTGTGTGTGCATGGTAAACACCTACCCACTGTACCATTGCTCTAACCTTAAAGATCTTAAACATGCAAAACTATTTTAAAAGGATTTATAATTATCCTTTCTCATAGTTTGCTCTTTGACTCTTTGAATTTTATGTTACATTGCCCATTCAAAAATTACATGGAGTTTTCTTTATTTTTTTGTGGGGGAGAGCACACCCAGTGGTGCTAAGGGCTTACTCCTGGCTCTGGGCTCTTGCTCATTCCTGGTGGGGTTGAGGGGATCATATGTAATGCTAGGGATTGAACCTGGGTTGACTACGGAAGACAAACACTGTACCCAATGTATTATCTCTCCAACCTCAACATAGAATTTTTTCTAAGATGAAGGAAAGTTGTGAATATACAGTTCATGGATGAGGAAATAAATAATGGTTGGTGGTCTAGAGTGATAGTACTGCAGGTGGGCACTTGTCTGGCATGCAGCCAACTGGATTCAATTCTTAGCATCCCACATGGTCTCTGGGGCACCACCAGGAGTGATTCCTGAGTGCAGAATCAGGAGTAATCCTTGAGCATTGCCAAGTGTGGCCCAAAACAGAACAAAATAATGATGCTTAAACATCAATGATGTCTCACGACATGACAGTAAGGTAATTTTTGCTCATTGAGAAATAACAAAAAGTGTGATAATATTGTATTTACTTGTGTGTTGAGAAAAAGGCTGCTGTTCACTACCGAAATTCACGTTAAATTTTTTTTTATTAATTTGTTTCCCCTTACACTTTATATAAGCACTGTGCTTTACAAAGTTGTTCATGGTGATTTGTTACAGGCATTCAGTAGTCAAACAACAATCCCACCACCATTACACCTTTCCTCCACCATTGTCCTCAATTTTCCCAACCACCCCTTAAGTCTGCCCTCATAGTGTTCCCTCAATAATTTATTTTATATTTCTTGTTATCAATAATTTGCTAACAGAATGATAAAAAAATATTTCCTTAGAAGGAAGCTACTGAAGATTGTTGTATTTCATCATGGAGCCATTAAGTCCTTGTATAAGAGATTACTAAGATGTTGTTACAGGTTATAGGTTAAGCCTTCTGCAGTTCACATTTTTTTGTATCTCTGTGGAAAGTTATTTAGCAGATCCATCATATAGATAGCATATAGATTTAATATCTAAAATACATAGATTATAATGTTTGACTTACCAAACAACTTGTACAAGATTTTAGTCTATAAATATGGTGGTCTATAAATATAAATAGGGATATAGTAATGTTGTTTATAATAACAGATGATTTATAAAACTTAAATATTCTACAGCAGAAACTCTTGAAATTATCTGTAGTCATTCAATATATAAAGCTGTAACTAGGTTATCATTTGCCATCAGAAGAAACTTCTTTAATTATACACACCATCTTAGATATATAAGATGTCTGGAACTGTGGTTGTGTTCAAATTTGAACCAATAGATAGCAGAGAGATATGGAAAACATTTCATGTATATATGTTCATATCTTTAAAAAATTTTTATTTTATTTTTATGAAGTTATTTACAATAATTTGTTATGTTTACTATTCAAACACCAATCCCACCACCATTATACTTTTCCACTATCATATTTCAAATGTTTCCACTCCAACCCCCAAATCCTGCTCCCAAAGCAGAATCAATATAATTTATTTTGTATTGCTTGTTAGGAATAATCTACTAAAAATTATCCAAAAAGAGGAAAGTGTGTAAAGATTGTTGTATTTCACCAAGGAGCCTTTAAGCCCCTCTGTATGAGATTACTAACATGTTGTTAAAGGTACTTCTTTTTGTTTTTTTTAATTTTCCCTGAGATCGGTTGCCTTCTACTTTAAACCCCATCAAATGTGGTGTGCTTCTCTTGGTACATCAGTGGTATAAAGTATAAGATGTTGCGTGGCCACAGATGTGGCCATGCACTTCAGGAATTCTAAATTTTAAAATGCACTTATACAGCACTTCACTCATGGGTGAGGCTTGCTTAAGCCTGTGGAGAGTGGCTATGAGCATGATGGTTGTTTGAGTTCTGGAGGTTTTTGGCTACTGGGGCTCTGTTGGGTTGCCCTGGATGAGGCAGCCTGGCGCCAGGTCTGGAGTGATCTCTGTGGCATGTCGTTCTGTGTTGCTCTCTTCTGAGAGTTTTATTTCTGAGTCTCTGGGTCATGGCTGTTAATGAGATTATATGGCATCGGTGGTTCATGGGCATGATTGCCAAGTTACCAGAAACACAGGGAGATGTGGGGAGGTCAACCATTTCCAAGTCTGTGCAAGCCTGGAGAGTTTAGTCACAAGTCCCTCATACCCGAGATTTTCAGCAGATTTGCTCATGGGTGAGACTCATCTGAGACTGGAGAGCAGCCGTTTAAGTTCTGGAGGTTTTTGGCTGCTGAGGCTCTATTGTGGTGGGGATGGGAACTCACCTGCCCCCTTCTGGGTTGCCCCGGATGAAACAGTCCATTGTGGGTTCTGAAGGCGTCTCTGCAGCATGTCACTGTGAAACTTTCATATCTTTTGAAAAAAATGTAAATTAAAAACCTTTCGGATCCTATACAATTTGGTCTCTGTCTCCTTCCCCAAAATTGATCATTCTTACTCTACTTCAATTTTATTCTTTTTGGGGGGAGGGGGGCAAGCACACTCAGCTGTGCTCAAGGTTTACTCCTGACTCTGTGCTCAGGGATCACTCCTGGTGGGTTGAGGGATCATGAGGGTTGCCAGGTAGGATGCATGCAATGCAAGTACCTTACCCACAGTACTGTCTTGCTGGCTCCCAGTTTTGTTCTTAATGTTGTACCTAAAGCCATACTTTTGGGCTTTTAGATCTATAATTTCTCTGCTCGGAATCCTCTGACCTCAGGCCTTTGCATGCCTTGCCCTTTTGAGTATCTCTGTTTAAAAAAGTCTACTCAAAAATTACTTCCATGTTTGTACTCTCCATTATTTTGCCCCACTTTATTTTTTTCATAGCACTTATCTCTATAATTATCCATTATACTATGTAATTATGTAGTGTATATTTGTTTTACTTGTTTAACTGACGTGTCTCCTAGAATGTAAGGTCCTTAAGAGCAGGAATTTGGTTTTCTGATGTATCGTCAGGGTTTTAACAGTGCTTGAGTTTAAATATTTATTAAATGCAAAAAACATTCTTTTATGTTTTGGTTATACTTCAAATTTGTTTTATAAAACAAACTTGCAAGAAATTTCTAGGTAGTCAGATTTGCTTATCTTTTTCACCTTGTTTTAAACTCTGGTGCTTTAAGAGCATTTCCAGTATTCTGGCCATTTCAAATTTCTCTAGTGGACATTGATTATTTTTGGTATATATTATACATGTTCAGAGTTCTTTAGTGAAATACACTTTTTCGTATGACTTGAAATTGGCTGTGATTTTTGCGACAGCCAATTGTTGTAATCAGTAGCACTGTAGCACTGTACTCCCGTTGTTCATCGATTTGCTCGAGCGGGCACCAGTAACGTCTCCATTGTGAGACTTGTTGTTATTGTTTTTGGCATATTGAATACGTCATGGCTAGCTTGCCAGGCTTTGCCCTGCGGGCGAGGTAGTCTTGGTAGATTGCTGGGCTCTCCGAGAGGGGCAGAGGAATCTAACCCAGGTTAGCTGCTTGCAAGGCTAACACCCTACCCGCTGTGCTCCAGCCCATTATGATCAGTGAAGGTGTTTTTTTTTTTAAATTTTGTTATTATTTTAAATCAATAAATGGAAATGATATTGATTGGAAGAATTAGGAATTAGTGTAAATTTCTCAAAGTGACTTTATTGTGATGACTGTTTCTAAGGAATTTTATTTCTTTTGATACTGTGCCACCTTTCAATTGATAGCAATTATAGACAGTGATAGGTACTGATAAAAAACTCTTTGGTTTCTGAATTTGTTTTTAACTAGGGAAATGCACAGACAGATGCCACGAAACTTCTATCTTCCCAGACTTCCAGACTTTTAAAGAACAAAGCATTATTATGCAAACCTGTCACTCAGACCAAGGCTACCTCTTGCAAACCACATACACAACACAAGGAATGTCAGACAGGTATGTGTCCTTTGCTTTCCACTGTAAAAAATTTATTTTCTCTTTCATCTGTTTCTGTGTTTTGTTTTTGCTTTTGATTTTTTAGAAAAGAAAAGAAAGCTTTACAAGTTCTTAAATGTGAAAATAGTAATTTATGGATCACATACTTTGAACATCTACTTTATTCCTTTCATAATTATTGTCATTAACACTAGTAACTATAAAAACTCAGCTCATTTGCACACCATGCATTATACGTAGCGTGGACAAGCAAGCATCTCCTATGTGTTTGCATTGCTATGTTTCTAAATCTATAGTCAAGCTGTACATTGGTCAGCTTCTTGCAGGACAGTCACCTTAACCCCTGTACTATGTCTCTTCCCTCCGCCTCCCATCCATCTTTTTTTTTAAAACAACAGCACTGTGAATTGTTTGTTAGTTATGTATGAATTACTTATGATCAGGAAGATTATCTTTTTTTTTTTTTATTAGTGAAACACCATGAGGTACAGTTGTAGATTTACAAATTTTGTGCTTGGATCTCGGTCATACCACGATCAAATACCCATCCCTCCACCAGTGCCCATTTTCCACCACCAGGATAATATCCCTCCCCTCCATCCCCCCATCCCCCCCTGCCACTGTGGCAGGGCATTCCCTTTTGTTCTCTCTCTCCTTTTGGGTGTTGTGATCAGCAAAAGAGGCATTGAGTGGCGAACATGTTCAGTCCAGTCTACTTTCAACCTGCATCTCCCCTCCTGGGAGGATCCTCCAAACACCCTCCACTTGGTGTTCCCCTTTCTATCTGAATTGTCCTTTCCCCTAGAATACCCGGCTGGCCTCTAAGCTATGGAGTAATTCTCCTGGTGTTGATCTCAGCTATTCTTGGGTATTAATCTCATATTTTGTTATTTTATATCCCCCAGATGAATGCAATCTTTCTATGTCTATCCCTCTCTTTCTGACTCATTTCGCTTAGCATGATACTTTCCATATTGTACCACTTGTATGTAAAGTTCATGACTTCATCTTTTCTAAGAGCTACATAGTACTCCATTGTGTAGATGTACCAAAGGTTCTTTAACCAGTCATCTGTTCTTGGGCACTCAGGTCTCAGGAAGATTATCTTGCCTTCTTTTTTTCCATTTGTTATTGTTCTGTTTTTGTACTGCAAAACTGGTTTTGTTCAGAGACCACTTGAGGAAGATTGTTTTAGCACATACTTCAAAAGGTTGTAAACTATTGCTCCAATCATCCATGCTTACTGTTTTCAATCCTGCTACCTTTTTGTTTTAATTACTCTATAACCTACTCAACTGAAAGCATTCAAAACAAATTTGGTGGTGGTGGTGGTGGTGTGTGTGTGTGTGTGTGTGTGTATGCACGCGCACCACCCAGGAGTTCTCAGGGTTAGGGTCCCACTCCTGGTCTGTGTATTTTGTTTTGTTTCATTTAGGGGTCACTTCCGGGAATGCTCAAGGGTTACTTCTGGCTTTGCCTTCAGGAATCATTCCTGACAGTGCTCGAGAACCATACGGGATGCTGGGAATTAAATAAAATAAATAAATAAATCTCTCTTTTTTTTTTTTTTTTTTTTTTTTTGCTTTTTGGGTCACACCCGGCGATGCACAAGGGTTACTCCTGGCTCTGTGCTCAGGAATTACCCCTGGCGGTGCTCACGGGACCATATGGGATGCTGGGAATTGAACCCAGGTTGGCCGCGTGCAAGGCAAATGCCCTACCCACTGTGCCATTGCTCCAGCCCCATAAAATCATTTTATTTTTAATGATAATTTTACTTTACCCAGATTGGCATGCCCTGCTGTACTGTCACACTGGCCCCTCGTTCATACTTGATCTGACTGTGAAGACTTAATTGTTTGGTGTTCATGATACTCTTGACAGTGTTCAGAAACAAATGCAGTGCTATGGATCAAATTTGGGATCTTTGTATGCAAGTTCTAGCCCTTTGAGCTATTGCCCCAGACCTGACCTTTGCCCTTCTCTTCTCTTCTCTTCTCTTCTCTTCTCTTCTCTTCTCTTCTCTTCTCTTCTCTCTCTTCTTTTCTTTTCTCTTTTTCCTCTGTGTGTGTGTGTGTGTGTGTGTGTGTGTGTGTGTGTGTGTGTGTGTGAGTGGTGATGATCCTAAGCAGTGCTCAGGGACTCTGAGGGGTACTGTCAGTTTAGTGGCATCCAGGAGCCATGTGGTGCCACATCAAACAGGATCCCAAGCATGCTTGCCTGGCCCCTGTACTATCTCTTCAGCTCCTAATTTTTATTTTTAATGATAATTTTACTTATAAGCTTAGTCTAGCAGCAAGTAGTCATGACTTTTATGTAGGGTGCCTTCTCTTGATAGAAATAATGAAAGATCATATTTTCTTTTCTCAGAAATTTATTTTTATATTTCTGTTAAAATAGAATAATTTGTGTATATGAATTGCATTTAATTTTTATGTTCCTTTACTATATTTTATATAGTAAAGTGTCTGTGGTCATTGGTATGTGGGTATATGTGAGTTTATATTCCTGGCTTTGAATTTCTTTTTTCTTTTTTTTTTGGCTTTGATTTCTAAGTTGCATTTTGGTTTGTTTGGGGCCAGAGTGGTATGACACTTGCCTTGTACAAGGCTGATAGGGTTTGATCCCTGGAACCCCATGATGGTTCCTCAAGCACCACCAGGAGTGATCCTTGAGCTCAGGAATTAGCCCTGTGCCCTTCTGGGTATGGTGCAAAAACAATAAACAGAAACATAATGTTTTTTTTTTCTATATACTACTGTAAAGTACTTTCTCCTTTAACACTACATCAGAAACGTAATGTATATGTATATTATGATTTGGGAATGGGAGACTATACCCATTGGTGCTCAGGGCTTACTCCTGGATTTACACTTGGATTACTTCTGATGGGCTTAGGGAACATATGGGGTGCCAGGGATCGAACCGAGGTTGGCCATGTGCAAAGCAAGCACTCTGCGATAGCCCCAGCCCCTACATTAAGATTTTTAACAGATACAAAGATTTCAATCCATATGACCATCTAGTCCACTAAGATTAGACACTTACGTTGCTTATAAATTTTTAATATTATAAACTGTTAAATTGTATAAATTGATCTTTGTCCACTTGTCCAATTTTTTTCTTAGGATAAATTCTAAGTGGTAAAATTACTGATTCTGAAGTTATCATAGGGCCGGAGCAATAGTACATTCTGTGAATTGTTTGTTAGTTATGTATGAATTACTTATGATCAGGAAGATTATCTTGCCTTCTTTTTTTCCATTTGTTACTGTTCTGTTTTTGTACTGCAAAACTGGTTTTGTTCACAGACAAAACCAGGTAGAACATTAGCCTTGCACATAACCTACCTGGATTTAATCCCCTGGCATCCTATATGTCTCTGAGCACTTCCAGGAGTAATTCGTGAGTGTAGAGGCAGAATTAATGCTTGAGTATTGCCAGGTGTAGCCTCGCTCCCCCACCCCCCACGCCAAAGAAAAAAGAAAAGTTGTCATGACTGTTTTTGAGATGAGATGGTCAGACTTCTTTGTCAAGACCCTGAACGGTTGGTTTGAGGCTCTTCATGTTCCTAGTACGAGCAGATGCCATTGGGCTACACTAGCATGTGACAGGGACGAATGGAGACGTTTCTGACGCCCACTCAAGCAAATCGATGAGTAATGGGATATCACATGATCAAGTGACTGTTTTTGATTTGTTTTTCAGATTACTCGGCAGTGTTCAGGGCTTACTCCTGACTCTGCCTTCAGGGATCACTGCTGCATTGCTTGGGGAACCATAGAAGGTGCTGGGGATCAAACCTGGGTAGACTGCGTGCAAGGCAAGCACTCTAAACACTGTAGTATCTCCCCAGGCCCCATCATAGTTTCTTGTGGGAGGGTTTTGGCTAGACCCTACAGTGCTCAGATGTATTCCTGGCCCTGTGCTCAGGAGTGTCTCCTGGCAGTTCTTGGGTGACCATATGTGGTGCTTGAGTTGGTCCCTTGCAGTCAAGCTAGGGTTGTTGGGATTCAAGGCATGTTCCTTAACCCCTTGTATTATCCCTCCAGTCCAGTCTCCTGGATGATTAAAACTTTGATAATGTGTTGCAAAATTGTCCTGTGAAGTCAACAAATAACTTGTTTTTATTTGGGGGCCACCTGTGGTAGTGCTCAGGGCTTATTTCTGGCTCTGTACTCAGGGATCACGCCTGGCAGACTCTGGACTATATGGGGTATGAGGGATGGAACTTGAGTTGCTGCATGCAAGGCAAGCATCCTACCCAATGTACTCTCTCTCTCTCTCATTCCCCAAATGTTAATAACTTTTTGCAGCATTTTTTTTTCATTTACTTCCTGGAACTTTATCTGTTATTTGTTTTCTCTGTCATCAATCTATTTTGGTTGGGTCATACCAGCAGTGCTCAGGGATTACTCCTGGTTCTGCAGTCAGGGATTACTCCTGACCAGGCTCTGGGTCCATATGCTGTGCCAGGGATGGTCCATATGCTGTAGCCAGGTTGGCTACATTCAAGAAAAATGCCTTTCCATTGAACTATCTGACCCTTCCCTGGACTTTAAAAAAAGTAAAGTAAGTCATTTAAAGTGAGTGTTAGCACAGCTGTAGGGTGTTTGTCTTTCTTTCAGTCAGCTTGGCTGAGCCGGGTTCGATTCCTCCGCCCCTCTCGGAGAGCCCGGCAAGCTACCGAGAGTATCTCACCCGCACAGCAAAGCCTGGCAAGCTACCCGTGACGTATTCAATATGCCAAACACAATAACAGGTCTCGCAATGGAGATGTTACTGGGCCCGCTCGAGCAAATCGATGAACAATGTGAGGACAGTGCAGTGCTAAGTCATTTAAATTTTGTTTTAGGCACTGTGGTGTATAATATCGTTGCTAATTTTTTTTTTTAAGCAATGCATGTTTTTTGTTTGTTTCTGGGCCAGTTCGTGCCATTATCAGGGCTTACTTCGGGCTCTGCGCTCAGGAATCAGTCCGGGCAGTGCTTGGGGGACCATATGAGATGCTGGGGGTTGAGCCCCGTTTGGCTATGTCAGGACATGCGCCTTACCTGGTGTACTCTTTCTGGACCCTATTTTTTATTTTTCGGTCTTACCTCTCAGTGCTCAGGGCTTACTTCTGATTCTGCCTTCAGGGATCACTGCTGCGTTGGAATCGCTCCTGGAAGGCTAGGGGGATCATATAGGACACCGGGGATTGAGCCCAGGCCTGCCACTTGCAAAGCAAGTCCCTTACCCTCTGTACTACCACTTCAGCCCTCAATAAATTCTTAATTTGGCATATTCTGTGGATTTTAAGTCCTAATTCCAATAATCTTTAGTATACATAGCATTGCTAGTACATGTACCTATCACACAGTCTACAGTGGTACTACTGTTAGTCACCAAGCTTTGGGCAAAGGAGAAATTAGTTTAGTATTGTTTATTTTTCTGCAGGGAGGAGGGCCCACATCTGGAGGTATTCAGGGCTTACTTCTGGCTCTGCACTTAGGAATTATTCCTGGCAGTTCTTTGGGGGGGCCAAATGAGGTTCTGGGGAATCTAACCTGGGTTGCTGTGTGCAAGGCAGATACCGTACCTGCTGTACTATCAGTTCATCTCATGGTGGTTATTTTGGTGGTTTTTTTTTTTTTTGGTGCCATTTGCAACGGTGCTCAGGGGCTACTTCTATTTCAGTCCTCAGTGTTTGCTCCTGGATGAACTCAAGGGCCTCATGCAGTTCTGGGTGTTGATCCCAAGGTTCTTGCATGAAGTGCTTGCTCTGGACCTTTGAACTATCTCCCCTATCCCAAGAAAAATTTAGTTTTTAATGAATCATAGAAGTATTATGACTTATGTTTAAACTTTAATGTATTATTTTGACAAGTACTAGTAACCAATATAAATTTTAAAATTAGTGGTTAAAAACAAGCACATCACTTGTTTGTTCTTAAAAATAACGGTGATTCACATATTTCATTCAGATTTACCAGTGCCTAATGAGAAAAAGAATGCAGAACTTGATTCTCCACCTGCAAAGAAAAAAAGAATAGATTTTCTCCAGACTTATGATGCGGAGTATCTAAAAGTTGGTTTTATTGTTTGTCCTGGATCAAAAGAAAGTTCGCCGAGGCCTCAGTGCGTCATTTGTGGAGAAATCTTATCCAGTGAAAACATGAAGCCCGCAAATCTTTCCTATCACTTGAAGACAAAACATTCGGAATTAGAAAACAAACCATTAGATTTCTTTGAACAAAAATCTCTTGAAATGGAATGTCAAAACAGTTCTTTTAAAAAGTGTTTACTAGTTGAAAAGTCACTCGTGAAAGCTTCTTATTTAATTGCTTTTCAAATTGCTGCCAGCAAGAAGCCATTCTCTATTGCTGAAGAATTAATTAAGCCATATTTAGTAGAAATGTGTTCCGAAGTTTTGGGTTCAAGTGCTGGAGACAAAATGAAAACCATTCCTCTTTCTGATAACACAATTGAACACAGGATTGATGAACTGTCAGCAGACATTGAAGATCAGCTGATTCAGAAAGTCAGGGAATCAAAGTGGTTTGCCCTTCAGATAGATGAATCATCAGAAATTGCAAATACCACTCTTCTTTTGTGCTATATCCGTTTCATTGATTATGAATGTAGTGATATAAAAGAAGAATTATTATGTTGCACTGAAATGCCATCTCATGTAACTGGTTTTGAAATATTTGAGCTAATAAATAAATATATTGCTAGTAAATCTCTGAATTGGAAACATTGTGTTGGTCTCTGTACAGATGGGACTGCAAGCATGACTGACAGGTGTTCTGGTTTAAGGACAAAAATTAAAGAAGTTGCCATGAATACGGTGGCATTTACACATTGTTTGATTCACCGTGAACATTTAGCAGCAGCAAAGCTGTCTCCCTGCTTACATGAAATTATTTTGCAGTTAGCACAAATTTTAAGTTTTATAAAGAGCAATGCATTAAATTCAAGAATGCTATCAATTTTGTGTGAAGAGATGGGGTCTGAGCATATGAATTTGCCACTTCATGCTGAAGTACGTTGGATGTCCAGAGGAAAAGTTTTAACAAGATTATTTGAATTACGACATGAAATTGAAATCTTTTTAAATCAGAAGCATTCAAATTTGGCCAGGTATTTTCTTGATGAGGAATGGGTTGCCAAGCTGGCCTATTTATCAGATATTTTTTCAATTATCAATGAACTGAATTTAAGTCTTCAAGGAACTATGACTACTCTCTTCAATTTGTATAATAAAATTGATGTATTTAAGGAAAAGTTAAAAATGTGGCTGAAGCGCACACAAGAGAACGATTATGACATGTTCCCTTCATTTTCTGAATTCTCAAGCTCCTCAGATTTTAATAAGAGAAGCATGGCTTGCATCATTTTTGAGCACCTGAAAGGACTTTCTCAAATGCTCAATGACTGCTATCCACCAGAAGAAGACTTGCGTTCAGGAAATCTGTGGATAATTAATCCTTTCATGAATCATCAAAATAGTAATCTCACGGAATTTGAAGAAGAAAAACTAGCTCAGTTATCTTCAGATTTAGGATTACAATACTCATTTAAATCAATGCCTGTAACTCAGTTTTGGGTAAATGCAAGGACGAGTTACCCAGAACTCCATGAAAAGGCAATGAAGTTTTTATTGCCCTTTTCAACTATTTATTTATGTGATGCTACATTTTCAGCTTTGACTGAATCAAAAGAGAGAAATCTGCTGGTTTCTGGCCGTGCTCTGAGACTTGCAGTCACATCTTTAATTCCAAGGATAGAAAAATTGGTAAAGGAGAAAGAATAGAAAAACGTCCATGTTGATTATTATTAAAGTCTTTAATTTTGTGTTAAATTTTGTATCAATCAATTCTCAAATATAATTTCATAATATGGATATGTTTTCAGTGATTAAATGTGTTTTAATTATTTTTATTTCTGTTGAGTTTAATAATTATTCATTGTGTACGTGATTATTTCCATTTTTCTAGTTCAGAGTAGAGAACTTAGCTATTTTATTGACTGATGGCACAGTTTGGGTTCATGACAAACAGGTGACAGTTGAGACGCTCAGTTTATAATGAACTAGAATGCCTGGATTTTGGAACAGCTTGACCCTTAAAAGTTCATGGGTTTTTTCAGTCTTAACAAGTTAGCCACTTAACTCAACAGGTTGTGGAGAGTAAAAAGATTTAAGCAGCTTGGATAATAGAAGTGGAAGCCGAAGGGGAGTTTGAGACTCCTTTTAAGGGCTCTAGACCAGAGCTTGGCAAACTTTGTTTATAAAGGGTCAGACAGTAAATTTTTCAGGCTTTATATATCATTTTTTGGTGGTTGTATAGCAGCTGTAGCATAAATAGTATATGAGTATAGCCACATTTAAAATTTTGTGACTTAGAAATGTGGATTTTATAGAAATTTTATGTGTCCTGAAAGCTACTTAAAATTCTTTTATCACTATAAAATATAAACACTGTTAGCTGGGAGAGGGAGCGACTTAAAATTATAAGGCAGCTAATGGAATTTGGCCAGTAGTTCACCCATCCCAGACTTCGCAGATTTCCAAGAGCTGCCGGACAGGGGTGGCCTTATAGGGTTTTGTTTAGTGAAGAACTTTCTTTCGGCTGCAGTTATTTAAATTTCCAAACAGGTTCCCCATGTTAATTTCAGCTGCAAGAAATTAAGAGGGGTGATATAATTCAGGCAGGTTCAGGAAAGAACTTTATAATCACTTTATAACTACCAGCTAGTTTATTGTTTGGGGGTGGGAGGTTGGGCCACAGCCGGTGGTGTTCAGGCCTCCTTCCTGAGCTCTGCTCCGGACTCCCCTTGGCAGGGCTGGAACCCCGGAGTGCCGGGGACCGAGTGCAGGTCAGCCGCCGTAAGGCAAGCGCCCTAGCCTCTGCACTCTCTCTCGGACCCCGTAACTATTAACCATTGACTTTTAATGACTTTATAGGTGATGGTTGATACTAATAAATGTATAGATTAATCGCTTTTCAGGGAACTTTTCAAGTTGTGCCACGTCCCAGGCTTTAGTTACTCAGGGGACAAGCTAAGGTGAGAAGGGGTCAGCTTGGACCCCAGAGCTCACTCAGTGGGCAGAGAGCGGGCCCAGGTCTTTGGAGGACAGCAGAGCTCTCTTCTCCGAGCATCTCCCGGCGGTGCCGAGACTTGCCCCCTGCAAGGGTCCTTTTAATCCGAGGAGGGCCAGCGGGCAGCAGCGTCCGGGTCTCCGAGCCAGGGACGGCCCGCCCACGCGTGTGCCCGCGCGCTCCGACCGGCAGGGGGCGCCTTCTCGGCGGGACTCGGCCCGGGCCGGCCATGGCGCTCTGGCTCGCCACGGCGCTACGTGGCCTGTTGGGCGGCTTCTTTGTGCTCACCGGGACGGTGAAGCTCTCGGAGCACATCTCAGCTCCCGCGTCCGAGCAGATGGTGAGAGGCGGGCGGCGGCGGCGGGGCGCCGGGCCGCGGGCGCGGCTGCGAGCCCGGGCGTTACCGGGCGCCTGGCCGCCTCCGGGGCGGGCGTGGACCCTGCCGCACCCCCACGTGCTCGGGCGCTGCCGGAGCCCCAGGCTGGACAAGAGGGGAAGGAAGTCGCCCCCGCCCCTACCCCTCTTTCCCCGTTTGCTTGAGCGCTTGGGCGCTTGCAGAGGCAGGGCCTTGTTCATCACCGCTGGGTGGGGTGGGAAAGCCATCCACGCGGGGGAGTAGGTCTGCCAGAGGCGAGGCCAGAAGTTGCACTTGCCAAAGTTTTCACTCCTTGTGTATGGGTCCCCCCTTGCCCCTAAATTAAGTAGATTTGGAGACTCCCGGCCCTCACCCCCGTGCCTCCCCTTACCCCCTCTGTTTTCCTCTCCCTGGGCTGGATACTTCTTAAGACGTAAGTCTTAGGGACTGGGTGTGTTTTGGGAAACTCCATCCCCAGAACCAGACAGCTTAGAAAAAAGTTCATGTTGGCAGTGATGAGTAGGGAGGATGGAGCTGAGAGGTGAGGGAACAGCAAGAGGTCGCCAAGCTGAGGGTTGGGGAGAAGTTGTCAGTGTGGCTCCAGACGACTTAGTTCATCAAGAGGAAGTCCCTCCTGAGCGGAAGTCCCTCCTGAGCGGAAGTCCCTCCTGAGCTGCTCCATGCTGTCTGTGACCACTATGCACAGTCGGCTCCAGGCCACAACACGGGACACTCAAAGAGTTGGATGTGTAATGAACAGAGAGATCTTCCTGTCACCCTGCCCACCTCCAGATGGGTAAGAGTAGTCAGAGGGGGAGCCTGACCAGGCAGCAAGAAAGAAGCTGGGAGTTCTCAAGGCCCTGCCACTAGAGAGGAAGGCCCAGCCCTTCTCCCAGCCAGCTCCTCTCTCCTGGGATTTGGAACCAGGGTGTAATCTGGAGAGAGGGTGTGATGAGAGAAAGGATCAGTCCCTCTCTGCAGCACTACTCCCCCATTCCAAAGCTCAGCTGTCCCCGGAGTTGCAACGCCTGTCCTAGAGTTGTAACACCTTGGTTGGGGGAGTTGAGGGTGTAGATGCAGAACAGCCTGGGCATGGCCTGGGTGGTGGGTGGCTGACTGGCATGCCCTGCCACCCCTAGAGAGCCCTGTTCGTGCAGTTCTCCGAGGTGTTCCCACTGAAGATGTTCGGCTACCAGCCCGATCCCCTGAGTTACCAGGAGGCCGTGGGCTGGCTCGAGCTGCTGGCTGGGCTGCTGCTAGCCCTGGGCTCACCGGAGCTGCAAGAGATCAGTAACTTACTCTTGACCCTGCTCATGATGGGTAAGAGGTCCTGATTGGGCTAGGGGGCCTGGGGGAGGGGAGGGAAGGAGGATGGAGAGACCTGGCTCACCTCCACTGACTTTAGCCACGGTTCCTTCTCTGCCGCCATCTCCGTGGTCTTTACTCCTGGTGCTTTCTAGACTCACTCGATTCTAATACTCTCATATCAAATGGACCTTCCGCTGCCTCAGTCCTCTTAACTGATGGTCCTTTAGAGCTAAGAATAGACTGCAGCCTAACAGCCCCTACTGCTCCCTCTGCATCCTCACCCCTGGTAGCTGCCATTTGTCTTACCTGTCAGGCAGATGTGAGCAGAGAGCAGGGAAGCTGGAACCACTGAACAGTGGAGGTGGAGAATTTTCTGGGGGCAGGCAGTCCTAGGGGACACCCCCTCGCAGCAGCACTCTTCACAGTAACTGCTGCTATGCAAAGCCAGCTGCTGCTCCCAAGTCCAGGCAGCTTTCGGCTCTTTTCTAGCCCCTCTCCTGGTGTCTTCCTGCTGCTGCTGACACTCCTCCCCTCCCCCAGTCTTTCTGTCACTGGCCTTGCCTTGCTGTCTGATCTTTCCTGCATTCCCACCACCAACCACTCACAGAGGCCTTCTTCCCTCCAGTAGGATTAAGAAAGGGGAGAACTAGGGAGAATTGTTCCCAGATGCCCAATCACTCACCTCAGTGTCTCCTTGGATGGGTTGCTCGCTGCTTCTTGCCCTAAGAGAGCACTTACCTTAGTGCCAGCTGCTTTGAATTCCTGCTTCTACTCTCTGGGTCAGGGCTGGAGCCATAGCACAGCAGGTAGGGCGTTTGCCTTGCAAGTGGCCAATATGGCTGACCCGAGTTTGATTCCTCTGCCCCTCTCGGAGAACCCAGCAAGCTACTGAGAGTATCTTGCATGGCAAAGCCTGGCAAGCTACCTGTGATGTATTAGATATGCCAAACACAGTAACAGTTGTCACAATGGAGACGTTACTGGGCCCGCTAGAGCAAATCGATGAACAACGGGAGGACAGTGACAGTGACTCTCTGGGTTGCTAGAGACAAGAGTAACATGAGGGTAGGGGGTGGCGGGGGTACATGGAAGGACCTGACTAGAAGTGGGTGAGCCTAACGGGAGCAGCTGCCCTCAGGGACCTCACTTTCCTTCCAGGGGCCATCTTCACTTTGGCGTCTCTGAAAGAGTCTCTGAGCACCAGTATCCCGGCCCTCGTCTGCCTCGGGCTCTTGCTGCTGTTGGATTTCTGCCGCTTCTTATTCCCAGCTGAAGAGGTAGTGGTCCTCACCAGGCAGACTCCAAGTGCACCCAAGGACTTTCCGCAGTAGAAACCCTCTTCTCTGCTTCCCTCTTCCCATGCTGCTGGCCACAGCAAGAATGGGAACACATACAGGCTAGTACCTTGTTATGGAGACAGGGTCAGAACACAGCCTATGTTGAAGCAGACGCCTTGCCAACTACACCCTGCTTCCTCTGTCGGGAAATTGTGACTCTTTCTGGGAGGGTACATACATCTTTCCTATGCCAAGTGAAAATTAAACAACAAATTGAAATCGCTCCGCAGTTTTTTTTTTTCTTCTCTCCCTCATCCCCATTCCAAATTTTTTTTTTGTTTTATTTTGGGGTCACCAGGCTATGCTCAGGGCTTACTCCTGGAGGATGTGAAGAACCATGTGGAATGCAGAGGGTTGAACCCAGGTCAGCAATGTAGAAGGCAAGCCCTTTACCCACTCTGCAGCTCCCTAGCTCTTCCCACTCCACATTTTTAATGACCCCAAATAACTGCCTTTAATTCCTTTGTGTCCTGACTGCTCAACAGTTTTTTCTGTCTCTCAGATTTTTTAATGAAAGTGAGATTGGATATGCTAGTTCATATTTTACCTTGTTGATGGCAAGACTGCATTACTATTCCATTGTAAGGTGGCCCTGTAATTAGCTTCAAACACCACAAGGACCATTTGGATTGTTCCCAAGTCTTTGCTGTTGTAAGGCTTATAGTAAGTTACCTTTGCATATTTATTTTCTTTCCCTAAATGTGAGGGTGCTGGTTCTAGAGTCATGTCTTTTGTTTGCTGTTGGTGCTAGGGATTGAACTCAGAATCTTTTGCACACAAAGCATATGCTCTATGGCATATATACCCTCCCTACCCCAGTGTAGGGCTATACCCATTCAGGGATTACTCCCATCTCTGTGCTCCATGATCACTCCTGCTGGGGTTTGGGAGACCGTGTGCAGTACAGGGAATAGAACCTGGTTTGACTGTATGCATGGCAAACCCCCTACCCACTATGTGCACCTTCTGGCCCCGCAGGGTACACATTCTCAAAGTATTTTTTGATATGTAAACATTTAGAATTTATTGTTGCTCAGTATATCATATTGTTCTGAAGGATACTGGCAGAAGTAGGTGCAACCCCATACTCTGGCCACCCTGATTACAGCAGAGTATAGAACCTGCTTCTGTCCTCTGACCCACTTGAGGTAATTCCCTCCTGTCCTGCTTAATCTCTGGTCCTTTCTATTGACTGACCTTGAGTCCATTTACAGACCTGAAACGTGGTGGTGGGACAGTGCTCCCTGACCCCAGGCATGGAGCTCTGGGTCAGCCAAGTCTGTGGATGCCACGTGGAGTAGGGGTCAGCAGCTTGCAATGAAGCCTGAGGCCCTAGGAATTCAGCTGCATGTGTGCACACGTCCTGTTTCCTGCGCACAACTGCTAGGTGTGTGAAAGCACCACAATTCAAGTGTGTGGTCTTGGCAAGCACCATGACTATAAGTGTGTGAGAACTGTAGGCAGGAGTATGACAGGGTGAGAACTAGCGCAAGCACCTTGGTGATCACTATAACCAGAGCATACACTCACACCACAGCTAAGAGCATAGCTCCTGTTAAGCTCGTGTGCAGGCACCAAACCTAAAGGGGTACATGCCTTGGAGAGTACCACTCCCCTGTGTGTGAGCACGGCAACAGACTTGCCATTTCCAGTGAGCATCACAGTCCAAATGTGCCAGCCCTATAGCCAGGTGTGTGTGACTCCTGACACTGCAACAGCAAAGGGAAGGGCAGGCAGAGTTTTATTTATGTAGCTTCTCTAGTCATTGTATACTCACACACCCAGCTGCTGATTGCTTAGGGAGCAGCCACCACCTTTTTTGGGAACCTCGAGGGGTTGAAAGAAGTCAATTTATATTACTTTATTTCATCTTTCACACAGAATGGGAGTTCTTGCTCTGACACTGACAAGCTGCAAGTCTCAAAGTGACACACTTAAAGCTGGAGGTACAATACAGTGGGTAAAGCACTTGCTTTGTGTGTACCTGGTCCAGGTTTGATCCCTGTCACTACATCTGGTTCCCTGAGCTCTGTCGGGAGTGAGCCCTCAGTGTAGAGCCAGCAGTATGCCATGAGCACTGCTAGGTGTGGCCCCAAAAGCAAGATCAACAACAAAAACACAAAGTGATACTGCTAGGCTTTTTGTGTATGTGTGTCTGAAAGCACAGTGCAGTTTCTAGTGAATGTGTGTCTACATGCAGATATGTGTAAATCAGTACGCACAGATGTGAATAGGGTAATACAGAACACACCTACAGAGTAATGTTTACTCCCTATAGACTGTCAAAGCAATAAGGCAACTTTCACATAAGAGGCCAGTGAGCATCACAGTGAGCATCACAGTCCAAATGTGCCAATGGAAGCTGTTTAAATGGAAGCGTTAAAACAGCTTCCATTGCGATGGTAGGTACTTCAGCGAAGTGATCTCAAAGATTGACATCTTTTCAACTTTCTGCGCTGTTGCTTTTTAATTTATAGACCAAAGCCCTCAGGGTTGAAAATATAGATGTAGCAGCTCCAGATGGTATATTTGCACATAACATCCAATGATGGGAAGATGAAAGCGCTCAGAAGATGCCTAGGTTTCCCCTCCCACCACACTGGCAAGAATTATGTCGCATTCTTTTTTTCTGGTTTCTGGGTCACATCTGGCTGGTGTCAGGGTTTACTCCTGGCTCTGTCTCAGGATCACTCCTTGTAGTGTTCAGGGACTGGAAGCCAGGTCAGCCACATGCAAAGCAAGTGCTCTACCCGCTGTGCTCTCACTCGGACCCCGTGTCACATTCTTAGACCCTTCACTAACTAGAAGTATGGAATTCTGACTTGAACTTAAATTAGTTAAGATTTATCTACAATGGGCAGCAAGAAAGAATAAGGCAGTAGATAATAATTTCTGTCATTACCTTATCCCAAAATACAGATAATAATGGTAGTATTAAATAGTTGCTGTGAGAAGTTAGTGAGTTGAAGTGTTTATAGTGGGGCCTGACATGTCTAAGTGTTTAGTAAATACTATTATTAAATGATGGTTTGTTTATAGGTGAGAAATAGCCTACGTGGCTGACCTGAGTCTAGAATTGAGACTTGCCTGACCCTAGAAGTTACATGTAGCAGCTCTATTACCTTCACTTTGAGGGTGATGTCTTGTGGATGGTTTGTGTGAAGTAGGGAGGCAGCAACCTCAAGAAAAGAACCTACTACTTGGAGCCGGAGTGATAGTATAGCAGGTAGGGCGTTTGCCTTGCACACGACTGACTTGGGTTTGAACCCCAGCACCTGTATGGTCTCCTGAGCACTGCCAGGCATGAGTCTTGAGTGCAGAGTATTGAGTAAGCTCTGAGCACCATGAGGTGTGGTCATAAATAAATTAAAAAAAAAAAACAAAAAAAATAAGTAAAATAACCTACTTCTCTCTCTTCTCACTTTGGTTCCTCCAGGAAGTGCTCAGAAAAACTAGGACTGATGAAAGTCTGCAATAAGCCCCTACCTGTAAATTCTAAGTATTTATGTATTTAAAAACTTAGAAAATGTTTATGCTACAAGGCCAGAGAGATAAAACAGTGGCTTGGGCATCTACCTTGCACACAGCCAACCCAGGTTCCATCCCTGACACTGCAGAGGGCCTCCAATGCCCCAGTTGGGGTGATCCCTGAGCACAGAGATGGGAGTAAGCCCTGCTTATCAGTGACATCTCACCAGCCCCAGGGGATCAAACCACACCAGAAATGATTCCTGCCACTCAGTTTCTTTTCTTTTTTAAATATAGAAATAAAAATGCTCACATTTTAATAAGCAGAATGCATAGGAGAGAGTCGAGAGTGCACATCTTGGGTTGAGATGTGGGCCACTCCCATCCTCCCCATCCCAACCAGAATGGGGAAGTGCCCCCTTGTTGCAAAAAACTGTAAAGGAGTGGTTTTGTAGGTTTTCTCCCAAACCAAACAGTTTCCTCATGGGGTTTTCTATATATGAGTCTGTGGCTAGGGAAAAAGCTCGAAACTTTCAGTGTCCAACCTCACATTCTTATGACAACTTTTTGTTTCTGATGAGGCTTCTCTCTGGAGGAATCCAGTTTTCTCTGAGCCAGAGCTGTTAGTCTTTCTGGGCTTCGGTTCCTGTGTCCACAAAGTGGGTCTGGCCATAATGCTTTTTGACTTCCTCAGGACTACTGACTGAGTAACTTCTTTAAATAACATCTTTTGAATGGTTTCTTTGTGGTGCTCAGGGCTTGCTCCTGGCTCTGTGCTCAGGGATCACTTTTGGTTGTGCCAGGGAACCATACACCATGCTGGGGATATCATGCTGGGGATTGGTTGGATACAAGGCAAGCAAGCACCCCTACCCATTGAACCATCTCTCTGGCCCCTTTAAATCACATCTTAGTTTGTTTTTTAAAATTACTTCCCTAAAAATCATTGCCAGCTCCTCTCCCACGTTAACTCCCTACTTCAGATATGAGAGTTGTACCAAAGTGATTAAACCTGCCTTGCTTCCCACAAGCGCTTCTCTGGAGGAACATTTTGATGCCATGAAAGTACACACCGGAACCCTGAATCCTGACCTCTTTCTACTTTTGCCCCTTCAAATATGACAGCTAGCCATCTCCAGCCAGGGTTGTGAGTAAAACTCCACTGCTGGTGTTAGAGAGGCGATTCCTATTTACCAAGTTTGGCCTCTAGGCTCATTAGCAGCTACTGGCCCCCAGCCTGGAGTGTAGCCCAGCAGCTGCTGAAATGGCTGGTGCTGGGAGGGGGCTGACCAGCTGGTACTGAGGAGCGGTTGAGTCTGACAGCAGCAGAGGTGTCCTGAGCTCCCGCAGTGCTGCTTCAGCCCACGGAGAAGCCAGACCACAGCCCAAAGCCAGGCCAAGGTAAGCATGATGGCATTCAGTTGCAGAGCCTTTCTTCCACTTTTCTAGCTTCCTTTCTGTGCCATCTCTTTCCCCACAATGACACTCCCTTCTTTGGGGCCCTGCCTGTGCCCCAGTTCACAGCTGT